TTTCAGCTTTGAGGTCCGGATTATAGATCATTCCGGATTATGGGTGTCCGAATTAACGACTTTTGACTGTATTACTTGTACATAGTATTTGATTTATAAAGACGTTTTGTTTACTCCAGTATGACATCAAGAACGACCGATGTGAGTATGGAATTATAAGTATATTTATTCTACATGACCTGAGCAGAGTTTAATGCAGTGTGATACACGATACACACAGGATTACGAGCATCAATCAGGTCTTTGATGTATACAAGGCTTTAGAGGTAACCTCGACAGTTCCAAGAAATGAGGGTGGCTATCACGGAGACTTGTTTTTTCCGATGCTGACTCTTAGTTAAGTGTGGAAGCAGATGTTTCAGAAGGTCAAGGCCTTCATCTGTTTCCATCTCTGAATATAACATATCAGCACAGATGCTGTCAAAAAAGGTGTTGCTTGGGCTTCTGGTTTTTTATTTTGAATGGTTTTGAATTACATTTTGTTTTTTCTTTGTACTTTGATACTCATGCGCCAGATACTGCCTGGTGCAGTCTCTGCAGGTCCTAAATTCTGCTACAAAGTGCCTTCCTAAGTTCTAAATTTTCACCGGGGCTAAACTTTGAATCTCAGTGCTTTCCTTAAATTATAAAAAACTTATCCCTTAATTTTGCCGCTTAGTGCTTCCCCAAATTCCAAATATTTTGTCTTCCCTAAATTCTGCCATCCGGTGCCAACATATTCTATTCTATTCTGCCGCCGCTTCTGGGTTTATTATGAATAGCATATCAGTTATTCTTAATTAAAATAGCATTAAATGGAATATTTTGGCCCACGAGTTTCACTAACAAAATCTATTTTTAGCATATGAAAAGAATTCTTTGTTGAATTTTTCCTCGTCAACATTTCTTAGAGCATTTAAAAATCTATAATCATCACCAAGCATAGTGTTAGCATAAAAGGTTGCCCTCTTGTTATTCAATTACTAATATAAAAAACGTTTAGACATCAATGCATGAGTTATTACTGAAGCTGTCATATACTGATAAACATGCGGTGATGAAAGCAAAGTATAACAAATAATGACTCGCCAGGTCGGTATCAGGCATATAAAATAGGTGAATGTTTTTGTTTGAGATGTTATACCAAGCAGATACTAAGCTTCAGAGCCAAATTATTAATCTCACATATTTATGTTTGCATGATTGTTTTTTCATAACAAGGTATTTAATTTAATGCCTAAGTGAAATTAAGAATCAGAATTTTTAAGTGGAAATCTCCTCATGTTTTACTGTGGAAGGAAAAATCAAATGTGCATGCATAAAGCAAACAATAAAAAGTTTGTGACTTTGAGGTCCGGATTTTAGTAATCATTTCGGATATTAGACATCCGGATTTTGAACTTTGTACTGTATACACCTACTAAAAGTAGGAAACTAAAGGAAAACGCAAATTAAAAGCAAAATGAAGCATAAACGTGGAAATCAAACCTCCTAACAGAAACGAAATGAACAAAAGGAAATTAAAAACAAAATAATAAAATAAACAAAAAATGATAATTTCTTGATCTTTTTTTTTTCAAAGAATAACGCATCTATAGAATATGTCAGAAATCTGTACCATTTAAAAAAATTGAGGATTTTTTTTTTTTTCATTTTATGTATTATTAGTTGGGAAGTTTATTTTGTAGGGGAGAAATTTTTAATTTCCTGAGGTGCGGAAAATATTTAAATTACTACTTCAGTGCGTCAGATAATTTTAAGAGTACAGAAAAGAAATATTTTTGCCAGGAAGAATAAATAGCATTGCTTGAAAACTTTTACTTCCTATTCACAACATAAGAGTTTGAAAATAATCATACAGCTTCTTCTATTTCACATTAATATCACTATGTATTTTTATTTAATTAAATATAATTTTTTCCAAGTATTCTTTCAAACTCCAATTTCAATCAGCACAGCCATTTTTTTAACTTAATAAGTTTCTTAATGAAATTTTAATGAGTAAAAAAATTATTTCTATAACTACTTACTTTTTTTGCCTGTTTAGTCTTAATTTTAACTTAATTAATATATATATATATATATATATATTATTTAATGGAGGAGTATGAATGCTAAAAGATTAAAAATCCTGTACTTATGTAAATTTATCAGAAGCAGACATTGTTCAAAAAGTTCTATTCAATGGGCTACAGAAGTTGCCTAGTCTGATAATAGGTTAATTCGTTAAGTGATTAAATTTGATAAAATTATCCTTATGCTTGCCATTATATACTCTACAAATGTTTATAAATAGCCTTTCATTTGACTCTGAGAAAATGAAGACGCAATAATTTAGAAGCAAAACTGTAATGCAAATTATCTTTCTCTTCATTCAGATCAGTTACAAATTCACGGGTTTCAGTTTGCAAGGCAAAATATTTTTTCAGTTCCATAATAAGATAAAATGCAATTTTGTATCCAATTATGCAGAAATTATAAAGATAAAAGAAAATAACATTTTAATTGCAAGCAGTCATAAGTATGTGTTTTTAAATAATGAAATCTAATTTTACCACTAAAATAAATAACTGGAAGAGCTGTAGAAACATTAGGATATTTTTTGAAAGCAGGCAAGATGAAAAATGAGCAAACGCCTTCGCCGGTAATCGAACTACGAACCTCCGAAATACCAGCTCAGTGTGCTGATCACTACACAAAAAACGCAAGCTAGGAAGGCGAGAGAAATACCTTATATACTCCCCCTTTTAAAGGGCTACTGGGGTTTTTAGGGGACCCAATCACCAAATCCTGGATGAAGAGAATCATCATCCAACACCCCTTTAGTACAGGCACCACTGTAGAGACATTAGATTAATTGGAAAAGCCAGAGAGATGAGAAATGAGCCAACGCTTTCGCCGGGAATCGAACCACGACCTCTGAAATACCAGCTCAGTGTGCTGACCACTATACCACGAAGACAAGCTAGGAAGGCGGAAGAAATACCTTACAGAGCTTTTAAGACTAAATACCAGCTGCAGAAATGCTGTCACCTGAGAAACATTAAATAACAACAAAGAAATTATAGCAGTAATACTTCTGAACAATCGAGATAGGGATCTAGTGAAGAACTGGTTAACAGTTTAAATTACAGAACATACATGTCATACAAATAAATATATAGAGTTAAAAAGTGGTTAAGAAAAGTTCTCATAATTCTTTTTTAATTTTTGAGAAAAATCTCCCACACCCTCAAGTAATTCATGGCAATTATAAAAGAATGAATATATGTAAATACAAACTTACACATGAAATAATTTGCTCATAGTTCGTAAGTTAATAATCGGCAACATTTTTTCGAAATTTAATCAATGCCAAAATTAGAAATCTTCCAATTATTACCTCATAACCATCTTTACAATAATTAATTAACTGACAGACATTTGAGAATTATGTCAGTATACAATTAAAAACTTATTTAACCGTACAACGCATTAGTTGCACAAAGTCTCTTTCCTCTCTTCTAGCTGCAAAATAAAATTTTAAAAAATCACACTTTTCTGTTAATGATGCATCAGAAAAAATATCCACAGGAATGACAGCAATGAAGTGAAACATGCTAAATACTGTGAGCCATTTGGTTTAGATACATTTGAAGGACCATCGGGGAGAACAATTTATAGCCATTGACAAGAATTTTGATAAAAATAAATTTTAATTTGTGTAATTTCAATGTTAAAGAAAATATTGTACATATTAACATCGTACAAAAAATTCATAATAAAATTCCAACCATTATTTAACAGATATATACTATATATACCTGACCAATCATAGTTTAGAATACTTTCTGCACCTATAGAGTATAAGCACTGAGTAGGCACAGAAAGTATTCTAAGATATGATTAGTCAATATTAGTTTCAGTTACCTTTTTAAAGCAGTGTTATGTAATTTGGGATGATCTCGAATTTGGGGGAACAGATGAATGTAGGGGAAAGCACCAAATTTATAATGTTAATTTTGAGGTCGCCAATTGTTTTTTAAAGCAGCCATCATATTTTGTTATATCTTGCATACATATAAATGATAAATTTGTGCAGATGTTTCGGGAATTTGAAGATAGCATAGATACACAAGATGATATAACAGAGACAGACTTGCCAATAGCAACATATTAATTTATTTGTACACATTCTTGATGAACATAAACATGTTCACAAGCCCGTTCCACACTTTTATAAAATGTATCACATCATTAGACAGTCATTGAAGCTGAGGAATAAGCAACACACATTTTAACAAGAAGAAAAAAAAAAAAAGCAAACAGAGAGTCCGAATTTCAGCAAATCATAATTATAGTGTTGGATCTCTTGTTTAAATTCTGAAATATTTAAATACTGAGCATTCTTTCTTGGGTAACCAAATCCAAAGTTAAACTTAGAAATAAAAAAATTTCTGAATTTATCATATAACACTGCACCATTTGTTTTATACATGTCATGTAATTTTGTGCTGTTTGACTCTTCCAGCAGGTATATTTTCTTACTCTGTTTTAAGAAATAATAAGACTTTCTTCCCATAACAGAGCTGATAATTTCAACTTTTCCAGACATGGTTTCCCCAGGAATTACATATTTTTGATTCGTATGTTTTTTGCTTTGCTACTGGTGGTCTGTCAATGGGCAAATATTTTATATTTTTAATTCAACTTTTGCAATGCCATGGCAAAGGCATTTATACAAACTTGCACATTCCTATTTTGCCTACCTTGCAAACAGTGCACTAGATAAGAGTAAGATGTACTGTCTGAAGATCCCGCTTTTCCAAAACAACAATGTTTGTGCATCCCAGGCAAAAGCATTATAAGACCAGCAAGATAACAGTTTTGGGTATTCTAATTCTGAAGTTCATTAAAAGTTTTGAGAATTTGTTGTTTTTCATTCTCACAAATCCCTGCCTGCAGAAAAGAAAATGAAAAAGTTTGCATTAGGTCCTAGTTTAGTGTGTGGTTGCTCTTAAAACTTTCATAACAAAGTGAATTTATGGTGGTAACATAGCAGATTCTCCATTGGCAAAAAACTCAGCTATTGAAACACAACCTGCACTGGAATCTTTACTTTCCATGTTCACATGCACAGCTAAAGAACTGATGGAAAAAACTAACTAGTTGTCATTACAAGAGACAAAAACAAACATGAATGATCCTCATAAAAAAAGGTGGTCATAAATAGTTCTTCCCTCTTGGTGTGTCGACAAAAATTGTTTTTGTCTGGTGTACAAAATCTTTGCCCAGTTATAGCAACGGATATGAATATCTTTTTCTTGAACTGATTTGTAATGTAGACGCTGTTCCTATTGCGCATTAGATGGCATTATTACTTCAGTTTTTACAAAAAGTAAACAGAAATGATTATTATTACTTTATTCTTAATGCATTGCTATTTTATTTTTAAATAGCTGTTTCCTTTTATAAATTAGATCGGCAAAAATTAATTGGCAATGAGTTCATACATTTTCATGTGGATAAGGAGTTTTTGACTTGGCGGTGGGAGGTGTAGATAATCATGAAGTGCCAAATACTTAAATAACTCCAAAATGAAGTTTTGCTTTAGAGCCAAAATTCCAAAAGAAAGGATTGCAAGTTTTTTATTTTATAAAACTACTATATTAAAATTTGATTATATTTTAGAGTACCAACATATCTTAAATATATCATTAGGGTTACCATTACTATTTCAGTCTACATGTATTGCCAACATTTATGCTTGGCAATGATTGCTGCCCTATTAATGAAGAAGTGCCAAAAAATATAATGCTCTGTAGAAACAACAGAAGTTTTTCCCAACAATGCTTCAGTTTTGATACTTAAGAATCAGGACTTCAAAAGATACAAGAGAAACCCCTAAACAAAGCATTCTACATCTAAAACACACAACACAAGCATGCTGTTTAAGATCAACAAAAATAATATTCAGCCACATCAAAAGATTAAAAACAGGTATCCACCCAGATTTTTAGAAAACCTCAATTAAAAAAAAAACTCAGCAGGCAAATTACGAGAAAAGGTAAAATAATGTTAAAGGTACACAAAGACAAAATATAAATTAATTCATTGTCCCTGTAATTTAAATAACATAAAAACCACATGAATTTTCAAGAAATATGGTTATAAACTTGTCCTAACACTAGGGCCATTCTTCTGAAAATCCATGAGAAAAGATAAAAATAATATGTAAAAAAGTATATATATAATAGAAGCACACAGTATCTTCCAGAATGAGACGCTAAGAAACAAAATGTAGTGTGCAGGGTGTTTGAAAATTCAATGTACGAATTTTGAGAGAACATAGACAGTATCAATATGCACCATATTCACATAGGAAAGCATGACTAGACATACTACTCCCACAGGAAATATAAGAGACACAAAGACTCAGCAAAAGTACAGAACAGAAAACAGTGCTTTATTAGATGAAATGTAACTGTACAGTTGGCTGTGAAATTCAAAGATATCAAGTGGTGTTTCATCAATATTAGCAGTCAGTAGTAATAGCAGTTATTACCAAGAGGTTCAAGTCAGAAGCAAGGGATTATTTTCCACAGAATGGCCTTAAATATCCTGCACATAAAGAAACTGAAGCTAGATAGATAAATTAGGTAAATGAGGGTGCCATGCAATGGGTCTCCATTCCCGAAGGTGCAGTCCAAATGCTCTAGCACTACAGACTTTAGCCTTGCCATGCTGAAAATCACAATTGGTGATGCCCAGTCATGGGAACATCATTCAGTAAATTAGGTAGAGCTTCCTCCAGAAAAGTCCAATACTTCTGAGTATCCAGTCATGCTAGTAATAGGTATGGGCTAAATAAACAGTCATCCATGATAATTTGCCACACATGAATGGTAAATCAAGTATTGTGAAGCATGTGATCATGACTTGTGCAGATTTTCTTGGGCTCACACATGCATATTACGAAAACTGAAGACCCCTTCATAGCAAAAGGGCACTTCATCTGCAGAATACAATTTTGGAATTTCAGGCATCTATTGCTCTGCTGTGAAAACCACTGCATATATCCATGGGTCAGAGATAATCTATCTGTTATAATGGGATGTGCTTCAGATTATATGCGAGCTTGGGATTTTTTCATTGCAGCAGTAACAGCATGTATGCTTGTGTCCGGTTTATTCTTCACAGCATGCAATACATTTTCTTCCATGACAGGTTATTGTGGTTGCATGGTATCCTGCATCTAACAAGGAAGGATCCATGTTCATACATTTACTGATGCAGATGCTCGAAAACCTGATGATATTAAACACATCTGGTGGTACCTTCCCTGATACATTTCGATATCATCAACTGACCCATACACAAGCAGACATCTGCCAACTCAGGATTTGTAAAATGATGCATGTTCTCCGTATAGCATTGAAAGCCTCATTTGCCAACCCAGAGTGTCTGTGTATAATGCGACTCGTACATTTCCTGGTCTTGCTTTCCTATGTTAATATGATTTATATTGATATGATCTACCTATACATGGAGTTTGTAAATAGAGTTATGAGACACACTGTATAGGATCCTGGGTATTAATTGCCATAATTATAGTATTAAGGACACAACACACACTTACTTATTAAAGTCACGAATGAGAAAGAAGGAAAGAGTAAAAATATTAATAAGCTCATAAAAACTGTCTTAAACTAGAGAACTGATATAAATGACACCATGTTGCAACACAGAACTTTCAACCCTTCTACCGTGCATTTTCTCAGCCTTTCTAAAATAAATTACTCCAGTATACAATGACCAAATGAACATCAGGAGTAAGTTGAACAGTGTAGGAATAAAGGGACAGAAAAATTGTGAAACACTAAAATTGACTGGGCAGACAGGCCAGCCACTAAAATTGATACACTTGATTATGTTAACATTGTTATAAGCATGCCAATTTATTCTTCAATATTTAATTTGAAATTTATACTTTATGTATCAGTTAATAATCATTAAGATATAAGGTATTTCTACCACCTTCTTAGCATGCCTTGATGGTGTAGTGGTTACAACGCTCAACACATATTCAAGAGGACAGTGGCTCGAATCCCGGGGAGGGCACTGCTAATTTTTCATCAAAAAAAACCTAATGTCTCTATAGTATAGTGGCACCCAAACTAAAAAAGGTGGTGGATGATGATTCTCTACTACCAGGATTTGGCTACAGGGTTCCTTAAAACCCCAGTTATCCTTTAAAAGGGTGAGTATACAAGGTATTTCTCCCACCTTCTTAGCAGGCCTTCGTGGTGCAGTGGTAACCACGCTCAACGCATATTCAAGAGGACCATGGTTAGAGTCCCAGCAACGGCACTGCTAATTTTTCATGTCTCCTGCTTCCAAAAAAATTCTAACGTCTCTACAAAAATACGAAGAATTTTCAATAATTTTAACATATCAAATTTAACTTATTTTAAATACAATATTTCTTTATGTCATTATTTTTCTTGTTCTGTCTACAGTTGTCTTTGTAATCTGCCATTATATAAAAAAGTCATTACTATTACATTTAATTGTGTTTTGCCATCCAATGGTAGAGAATAATGAGAGATTAACTGTGTGTATAATAAATTATGTATGATTAATTGTGTAATTAATACAAGAATGAAAAGGAGATTTGCTTGTCAGTTAGGCATATTAAATATCGCTTTTGGCCTATACACACTATTATTACTAAAATAATGCATACATTCAAATAGTAAATAAAAATTTTCACAGTGAAATATTGTGCTTTTGTTCACTATAATGCCCATTGTTGTAATTCATCTTCATGCATGCAAATAATCCAGATATGTTATGTGACATGTGGTATAACAAACTGGCTTCTTTCACTTGTAAATTTCACACATGATCAAAATATTTAGAATGTTATCAAATTTACTCTTGTATCAGAAATGAGCTTTTACAATACATGTAACAATGATAAAGTTATCTCACACATGGCATATACTAACGCTAAGAGAAAGGAATTTAAAATTTTTGCTTACCATGAAAAGCTTAAACATAATACTGATTTTCCAAATAAATAATAAATTCCAAAATAAATAAATAAACAAAGATAAAATAAATAGGTATAATATATTATATTAGAAGTTAAAATAATTTAAATATAGTAATATTATGAAAACATGTAGGGGAAATAAGCAAAAGAAGAAAATATCATACCTTAATCCACCAATGTTGAAGAGCTTCTTCTACTGTTATTCTGTACATAGGATCAACTGTGAGCATTCTACGGATCATATCCTTTGCAAAATCACTAATACTATCCCAATGTTTCCCAGCCAACTACAAATAAAATTCATATCGCCTGTTACACATATGTATATTAAATAATTTAAATTAATGAATACACACAATTTGACAAATTTTATGCCAAATTTGTAATATTTCATTAATTTCATTTATAATTATTCACTATCTAATGTCTCCTATCACTATATACAATTTTTATAGATATTTTACCAAAGATTCCTTAATTTTAAAGAAAATATTTTGATCCCTTTTCCCAAACCCTAAAATTTTAATTTATGGAAATAAGTAACTTTTAGAACTTTATTAAACACAGCAGGAAAAATTCTTCCATTCAAATGACAACTTTTGACTGTTAATCAAAGTTTCATGACAGTGCTTGAATCATTGATATATTTTGAGGTACCATACAACAGCAATTACCCATTGAAAGTCCTGTTTGCATTTAGTTTTAATTTGAACATTTAGTTGTGAAAAGAAACCTACAAAACAGTGTCCGGTAGCTTCTTGGAAAACTTTCTGAAATAAATTGGTTCAATAAAAAGCACGAAAACACTCATGGAGCTACCTTTTTCTTGCGCCAGGATACAAACTCTAGAGAAACTACCAGATTACAGTTTAACGATAAATAACTGCTTCATGCACTGATATTCAAGATTAAAATAGTAAGCGATTATTTTAAACCGTACCAAGGTTCCTGCAAATTTAACCTCACAAATTCCCATGCAGACATTACACAGCAGAATATATAACTATGCAATTTGCTTAACATTTTGTTTCAAAATATAGAAATAAGCCCCTTGCTATTTCTCTTTCCTTAAAATCAGATGTTTGAAATGCAGTCATGTCCAAATTTATCTTACCCATACTCAAAAATAATAGAATCTTATGAAATATCCAATAGACGTAAATCATTTCAGCCAGGAATTCACAGAAAGGAATACTTAATTAGCATTATTCCAATCAAAAGTGATCAAACATTTTCTGATATATAAATCAAGCTGTTACATTATCTGATGGTGAATTTTAGGTTAGAACCAATACATCTGATGGTGAATCAAGTGCTTTGTGCAAGGAGAACATCTGAGTGAATTTATGAATTCACAGCATTTGATTTCAGTGTGTAAGGACTTAAAACAGTTTGTTATGGCTCTGAAGTGTCATTTGGAAGCATTTATGAAATGGTGAATCACCAACCACTTAGAAGCGAGACAATCATTGATGCAGTGGTATGTGTTAATATTTCAAGACAGACCATCTGTAGACTATGTAAACAATTTCAGAATTCTGCATATGTTGTAAGGATATTTTAAAAAGCCAAGGGTATGCATTTCATTGTTGTCAAGCAAAAGACAGAGTGCTTTAATTGGTGCAAATCATATCAGAACTACAGTGAGTATCAGTTATCCAATGTTCTTTTTAAAGATGAGCTGAGGTTTAGTTTAACATATTATTCTAAATAAATATTATTCTAAATATTTTTACATCTAGAAGGAGTCAGGGACATGAATTCTTCCTTCGAAAATTATGGAATGTGACTGTTTTGGTAATGCAGGGAGAAAGAATAATTATTGACAGATGTACGCTGCACCAGGGAAAAAAAAGGAGGGTCAGCTTTCTATCTCTCGTTCTACTGGACCGATTGACAAAATTCAAATTGCGTTTTTCATCTCTCGATAGCGCGACTTAGGATATCTATTAGATTTATATATAGCATTGTTCTAATATAGGTATTTTGAGACAAAATCGGACCTTTTCTGAAATAACATACCAATATTTTTCATATTTCAATTCTACGATTCAAATTACGTTAAACTACCAAGTTTTGTAAAAATCGCCCGAGTAGTTTTTAAAAAATTAGCTCTCAGAATTTTAGCTCCTTAATATTAATTGAGTTTGGTATATATTTATTAATCTCTCTTTTTTATTAAACTTATTGGATTTTTCCTTTCACATTTCGAAATTAAGGTTCATTCCAAATAAAATTCAAGCAAATTTTTATTATATATTTTAAAAATTTGTATTTTAAAATAACTTTTATAAATATTTTTTAAAAAATTTGAATAATAATCTATAAAATTTTTACCATTGTCTTAAAGTAGACGTATTTCTAAGCATACCTGCAAAAAAGCACAGTTCTGTATTCAAAATGTCCGATGATATACGTGAATTTATATATTGGCGCGTTTTGAAATTTGGCAAATTTGTTGAATGCGATAATAACGAAAATGTGGTTTACGCCCTTTGTTAAAATTATTAGAAAGTAGGAATGATGGGACTTTTTCCCCACTTATGCACAATGTAAAAAGGTAGGAACAAGGTGCCTTTTTCCCGCTCCGGCATAATGAAAGGGAAAGGAAAATTGTTGCCATATTATTAAGAAATTCGCCAAGTGAATTATTCTTGGCCAAACTGAAAATATTTCGCCAAGATAAATTTTTTAATTTCTCCGTAAATTTCGCACCAAATTTTACAAAATTTAATATCTGGGCATAATTTAAGTCCTAGAATCGAAATATGGAAAAAATTGGTATGTTATTTCAGAAAAAGTCTGATTTTGTGTCAAAATACCTATGTTAGAACAATGCTGTATATAAATCTAATAATAACCTAAGTCGCGCTTTCGAGACATGAAAAACGCAATTTGAATTTTGTCAATTGGTCCAGTAGAACAGGAGATATAAAACTGTCCCATATCTTTTTTTTTCGCAGTGCACACCCCTGCACTTTTTAAACAGCAGATATGGGACTGCCCAGAGATATGAGGATGATGCCTCAGAACCTTATCTAAGACTTTAGGAGTGGAACTTAATTCCCAAAACTGCAGCTAACAATGCTATTGCCAGCATGAAAACACATTGTGATATCTCAGGGAATATCATATTCCATTAATTCATAAGCCTTAATTTTTTCCCGAGTTGTTCTTTTTTTTCCCGAGTTTTCTTTGTAACATATTGTTACATGCATAGGGGTTTGTAATAGATTGAATGCACAAGTACGATAAAAGATTAATAAAATTTTTTCTTATCAAAAGAAATATATCAGAACTCTGGAATTTTCTCAGAGATATTCATACAAGTGTTCACAATATCAGCAATATAATCAGTAGTTATACTTCAAACTACTAAAACCAAATACAACCAATGCAAAGTGCACATCTAAAGAGAAAGCTTAACTCTGATAGCTCAGTTTATGCCGACTAAACAACTTGCAACAACAGTAACTAAGCAACTGAACTGAGATGCTCTTTCTTTGGCTTTTTAATGTTTTCAACCAGTAGGCGAGATATTTCTAACAAATTCTGTTTCTCGAAATTACTGGAAAGCAATAAGAGTGTGGAATTATGGTTACAGCTAACACAGTAATCAACTACATTAATTCAATTTCAGTACAAATTAAAGAGATACCCATGTATTAAATGCACGTGCCCCTGTATTCTTAATTTTCTGGCATAGCTTTCACTTAAAATTTGTCTCGCACCGCATTACACAAGGAAATACAACAATTTTAATTATAATTCTACTAAAATTAGCTATTCAAATACAAAATTTGAACAGTATTATTATAATTTTTATTGTTCCATGTTACTTTCTTCTATTATATGCCATTCTCTTAAATGTTTTCCTTTGTATTTATGTGTTATAATGTTATGTATGATTTCATATAAATTCAGACAATTATAATTCATTGTTTATGAGAAATTAATGATTTCATGCATGCAAAGATAATTTTGGACACGAGTGCAGTTACATGTCCTACATTCTATTAGCAGAACACAGACATGGGTGCAAAAATTGGAAGCAAACTATAGACTAAAATATGACAGCATATGAGCAAGTTCAAAATCTCTTGACTTCCCCCTCCCAAACAGAACAAATATATTAGATACATTTCAATACGCCTTTCAAACAAAAAAAAGTAACTTCTGCATTATTCATTATACTTCTGTAAAGTTAAATTTTGCATACATTCAAAAGAAATACACACTGTTCCTATTTGAGTACAAAAGTACATTTTTAATCCAGAAAAGAATATGGTTCAAATTTCAGTGACAGATAAATCCCATATAAAAATGCTTTGTTTTGATAGCTAAGCAAATTTCCGGGTCACTATAGCTTAGAAAGACTCTTAATTAAAAAAAAAATTATACGTTCATTTTTCTTAATTCCATGAGAGATATTTCTTCTCCCTGAAATTAAGCAAAATAATGCTTTACTTAAGCAATTTACACCATGAATGTACTAACTGTTTAAAACCTAATTCAATTACTTGCTGATAGCAGCAACAAGTAGTGATAATAATGCAAAATAAAATCAAACAAAAAAATACATTTAAAATTCATCGCATATTCAATTCGGAAAACATGAAAAAGGAAAGAAAAAAAAAAAAAAAAAAAACCCACAGAAGCCCAAAGGAAAACTCCAAAAGAAATAGGGGGTTCAAATATACCAAAACAAAAAGTGAAATATGAAATTTACTTCTTTCACTGTACCATCATCAGGAAAATGGTACATGAAAGAAGTAAATAAAAAATAAAATAGCCTACTTCTGAACTAACAAAGGCACCTTAAAGATTAAAATTTAAAAATAGTCTTAGAAAAACAATAAAAGTAATTTCGATCAGTCCAACCTTTGTAGGTCGAAGGAAACAGTGCAAAAAATTGCAAAATTGTAGCTTCAGAAATATAGGCAAATTCAAAAAGATTGCCAAAAAAAAAAAAAAAAAAAAAGACAAATGTATACAATTATTCTGGGTAGAGAGAGTCCAAAAATAAAACTTGCAAAAATAATACTCCAATACTTGAAACCGATATGCAGAATTTTTAATCCAATATGAAAAAAAAACAAAATTATAATCAAATTTTGAAAACATAAAGGCCAGGTTAGAATAAATAGCATAAGTTGTAAACAAACAAAAGTCTTGAAAAATAAAATGTTACGATTTCAGTTGACAGAGTCTGAAAATATGTAATACAGAAGTAATTCAATATATGAAAAAAAATCAAAGAAATAAATGAAAATTTGAACAAAAAATA